ATATATAATATATATATATATTATATATATATAAAATATATGTATATATATATAAAATATATATATATATATATATATATATATATATATATATATATATATATATGTATATGTATATATATGTCGTGCCGAATATGTAAAACTGGTCAATTAGCAAGAACTCATTTAAAATTAATTCCTTTCTGAAATTTTCTCTTATACGTTTAAAGATATATATTTTTCATTATTGTTAATGCAAAAACTTATAATTTTCCACCAAAAGAATCTTAAAAAACTTACCTAACCTTATTATAACAAGAGCAATTTATTTTAGCCTAACCCAACTAAATATATTTTAGATTTGTTTACAATAATTTAATACTAAACAAACACAATGAAATACATTTTTTTCGCTAGGTTCAGAATGATTTTGGCGAAATTATTGCATACATAAATTTTAGCTTGTCCTATATGGCAAGATGAGCGTTGCTATTTAAGCCAAGATCGCAAGTTCTGCCTATTCGGCACGACACACACACACACACACACACACACACACATATATATATATATATATATATATATATATAACAACACTGCGACTAGCCGAGGATTCGATCCCATGTCGCTTTTGGTCCGCCTCCTGGTGAGCGAAAAATCACATGACGCTCTAACCCACGGGACCACGCAATCCTACGAGAATCAAGCACCCAACAGAGCTAGGTGTTTTACCTTGATCCGAGGACATATTGTGGTGTGGGTGCCTCTGAGCTAATTTCATTCTACTCCCAGTTTGGTGTACTAGCCTCCACGAGCCGTATATATAATATTGTGACCACGAACGAGTGGTATTTAGCAATAACAACACTGCGACGAGCCGAGGATTCGAAACCATGTCGTTTTTGGCTCACCTCCTGGTTAGCGAAAATCACATGACGCTGTAACCCACGGGACCATTCGTTCGTGGTCACAATAATATATATACTGTTCGTGGAGGCTAGTACACCAAACTGGGAGTAGAATGAAATTAGCTCAGAGGCACCCACACCACCGTATGTCCTCGGATCAAGGTAAAACACCTAGCTCTGCTGGGTGCTTGATTCTTGTAGGATTGCGTGGTCACTACTTCCAGCCTTCTCCTTGTTGCAACATTCACCACCCATGCCTCACACCCATACAAGAGCACTGGTGTAACTATACTCTCATACATTCCCTTCTCTGCTTTCATGGATAAGTTCTTTGTCTCCAAGACTCTTCAGTACACCACTCACCTTTTTCACCTCGTCAGTTCTATGATTCACCTCATCTTTCATAGACCCATTTGCTGACACGTCCACTCTCAAATCTCTGAATACATTCACCTTCTCCATAGTATCTCCCTCCAATCTGATATCCAGTCTTCCGTTACCTAATTTTTTGGTTATCCTCATCACCTTACTCTTTCCTATATTCACTTTTAATTTCCTTATTTTACATACCCTACCAAACTCATCAACCAGCTTCTGCAACTTCTCTTCAGAATCTCCCAAAAGTACAGAGTCATCAGCAAAGAGCAACTGTGACAACTCCCACTTTGCGTTAGATTCTTTATCTTTTAACTCCAAACCTCTTGCCAACACCCGAGCATTCACTTCTATTACAACTCCATCTATAAATATATTAAACAACCACTGTGACATCACATATCCCTGTCTAAGGCCTACTGGGAAATAATCTCCCTCTCGCCTACATACTCTAACGTGAGCCTCATTATCCTCGTAAACACTCTTCACTGCTTTCAATAACCTACATATATATATTATTTTGCATACAATAGTACACTGTACATGCAATGGTGTACCACTGAGGGAGTTCTCAGTGTTCACTGCCAGCTACGAACTACCTCCCTCCCTCGGATCAAGCAAGGATTGCACCCCAAGACAATTTCTAGCACCCCCGCTGGTTGAGGGGGGAACGAGATCAGGTTCTCTAAGGACCGTAGAAATGGGATTCAATGCTGACCATTAATCTAGACATGGTTTTGTTTCCTCGGGAAGGTTGATTAATGGACGGGTGAGCAGCAGCGAAGGAGAAGACATTGTTTGTGTGATGGCAAGTGATGGTGAGAGACAACGAAGATTTTAGCTTAAAATGTCCTCGTTCCAAAATGGAGGTCCTACACTTACAACAGAGGTGAAGCACTCACAACAGAGGTGGAACGTTCATAACAGAGGTCGTGCACTCACAACATAGGTGAAACACTCACAACAGAGGTCGTACATTCACAACAGAGGTCGTACACTCACAACAGAGGTCGTACACTCACAACAGAGGTCAAACACTCACAACAGAGCCCAATTCTCAGCATCTCTTCCTTTACCCATGCATGAACCTACTCCTTGGAGCCTCATTCTTCTACTCATGCATGGACAAACCCAACTGACTTCCTAACACCTATTATTTTTCATTTTCAGTTCCTCTTCACTCTCTCACTCTCCTCAGCACACTTTTTTCCTTTTCCAGGCAGGTATTCTCTCTCTCTCTCTCTCTCTCTCTCTCTCTCTCTCTCTCTCTCTCTCTCTCTCTCACTCTCTCTCTCTCTCTCTCTCCCCTCTCCTCCCCTCTCTCTCCTCTCTCACTCTCTCTCTCTCTTCTCTCTCTCTCTCTCTCCTCTCTCTCTCCTCTCTCTCTCCTCTCTCTCTCTCTCTCTCTCACTCTCTCTCTCTCTCTCTCTCCTCTCTCTCTCTCTCTTCTCTTCTGCAGGTTTTCTTCCTGTCTTACTACTCGCACCAATTTGTGAGGGGCAAGTGACAAGTTCCTTCCTGATCTGTCATTATCAGGATGCAGGTCCTGCCTCCAGCACTGCCACCTTCACCTTTGGCACCCCCACCATCCTCCAGCACACCTCCATCACCTGGTACCCCCACCATCCTCCAGCACTACCTCCATCACCTGGTACCCCCACCATCCTCCAGCACTACCCCCATCACCTGTACCCCCCACCATCCTCCAGCAAATATATAATATATATATATATATATAATATAAATATATATATATATATATATATAATATATCTGGAGAGTTGATGTACTAGCATTCGTGAGAATACTACTACTACTACTACTACTACTACTACTACTACTACTACTACTACTACTAATAATAATAATAATAATAATAATAATAATAATAATAATAATAATACAAATAAATGGACATACTACAATTGTATATATAAGGCCAAGTTATAGAATAACACAGGGATGTGAAGGATGAGGGGGAGTATAACAATACAGAATAGAGGGGATGGGAAGGGCAGGGAATGGGACGATAGGGTATTGAAATAAATAGACCCGAGGGGTGAGGATAGTTTCCCCTCGCCCTCATTACAGGTGTGTGTCAGCCCTGGAATATTGTTTATATCTGTTTTGTTTCAGCGGCTGACGGTGCCTCTAACAGGTATTATATACACTGGAGAATTGTGTATGTGTGTGTATGTGGGGGTGGGGTAACATTGTGGATACTAGAGGGTAACATTATGGTCACCTTGTGTTAACACTGTGGTAACCAGTTGGCAACACCGTGGTTACCAGCCGGCAACACCGTGGTCACCAGCTGGCAACACCGTGGTTACCAGCTGGCAACACCGTGGTCACCAGTTGGTAACACTGTTGTCACCAGCTGGCAACACCATGGTCATCAGCTGGCAACACCAGGGGTCACCAGCTGATACACAGATGGGAGTGTCTGAGGTTCCTCCCTGACGTCTCCTCCTCTCCACACATTCCTCTCATATTTCTCCTTTATGAACACTCCCCAGTCTCCTTCAGGCACATGAAAATCTAGCTGGACGCTGTACAATGAATTATTATTCCCGGGCGAAACTTTTTATATATCATAAATAGAGACGAAACGTATCATTAGATCTTTAAAGTAACTCTTAAGAATTACATTCTTCTCAATGTTCCTCCCCCCCCCAAAAAAAAAATATACATAATCTTCAAAAGTCTTCTCAAACGAAAGTAGAAGAGAATATTTTTGTTAGCAAAGTCACTAGGTCAAAAGAATGATAATCTGTGTTAAGTATCAAGAAACAGTCTCGTAGTATACATATATTTTAGGCTAAAAACTAAGACTGAGTCTTAGTCCACAAGGATGTCTACCTACCTGGAGGGTATTCCGGGGATCAACGCCCCCGTGGCCTGGTCCATGACCAGGGCCGTCAGTATTTATGATTTTTTACTCCTTTAACACATTCGTAGTTTGTACTCTATTTTAAATCAAGATTTTATCAAGCCGATAGCGTCTTAACACAATGTCACGTCTCTTCATAAGCCGATATTCACCTTATGTTTCTTAATTTGTTGTGTTTATATTGTATTCAAAGAGAAGCGCCAAATCTCTAAGTAGTAAGTAGAGGGTGAGCAGATTAATTAATGCCAGGTTGAGGTCACAGTTGGTGTTAGACGTGACCTGGAGGTGACGTGTGACCTCTCTACCAGTGGTAAATAATCTCCACTGTTAACTACTGGTCTGGCATTGATGATGATGTAGGCGTTAAATCAGGTTTTAGACAGACTGATTTGGACGAAGTCTCGTCCTTCAATTAGGGCGACATATCTAGAGTTCACAGACTTCGTTTCCTGGACAGTGTGTACCACACACTAGTGACCATAATTCAGAATCATGAAAAAAAAAATAGCTTCAAGGAGTACACATACTGTCAGAAACTCACGAGAAAGAGAAGAACGGGTACTTCCACAAATATACATAGAGACAGACACATAAATAATGAAAATTTAAACTGGGACGTTGTTTTAAATACTAAATATGGACACCAAAGGTATAGCTAATCTCCTGTAGTTACAGTACAGAAATACACAAATATATACACTGGTACACATGCATGCAATATATCCTAAAAATATAACATCCAATCCCAAATGTATGAGTATCACATTGGAAGTTTAGCTCGGATGTAGAGCCGGGCTGTAAACATGCACCATGCCTAGCCAAAGAGACTAGCTTTCGTGATTTACCTTAAAATAGGTGTGTTAGGATCACAGACGTTCTTGGTAAACACCCTGTGGCTATTTACACGGTGCTCATGCCTCTCCAAAGTCTTTAGATGCATGACCGAGTCTCTTAGCTAGTTCGTGCATGACCTCTTTAAATATAAGCGTGTCGACATTCTGTCCCAACATGTAGAAAAGAAACCAGTCGCCCATCTTGCTCTTCCTCACGATGGTGTTTATAACTTCTTTGTTGATGAGACGGAAGCGCAG